AGCATTCACGAGCAGTCTTCATTTGAGGAAGTCTATGGTGGCGTAGGAGAAGAAGATACAAGATGTGTCCAAGGCGAACACTAGTTTGCACCAGAGAGAGGCGGTAGCCCAAAAAGCCGAGCAAGAGAGTCAGCAGCATCTGAGGGAGTTGAGCTTGAGCAGGAGAGATTGAGGGGTGAGTTGGCCGAGAAGACCATAGAGGTCGAGTCCCTCAAGGAGCAGTGCCTCTCTATTGCAAATGATGCTATTACCAGGGCCCGGGGAGAGCTCATGCTCGAGTATAAAGTTGGGAACACTTTCCACTAGAATCCAGATGAAGACATTCAGCTCATACAGGAGATGTTGGAGTAGGGAGCTGAGTATACAAAGGAGCAGATTGATGAGCAGATGCTCGATTTTGCTAGTCTGTCGGGACCATCGGTTACTGGAGATGTGAGCAACCAGGTTACAGGGACGGGTACTGGTGCTAGCGATGGAGTGACTGAGTCAGAGATGGGAGAGACGACTCGTATCGACGACACTTAGCTTTATTTCTGTTTGCTCATGTATTTTGGGGCCTGCGATGCCTTTTTTCTTGGCGTGTGTGCCTTTTATTGTACTCTGACTGGGCCGTTTGAGGCTATATGTATTATACTTGCTATTCTACCTTTTGATGCTTTCTTGATGGATGGATAAGTTGTTCATTGCTTCTTTACTTGTGGATGTACTAGGGTTGAGCTCTCATGTAATGTTTGTGATTTCAGTGCAGCCCCGTGTCTAAGACATGTGGGCCTTTTGTTGGGCTAGATTGATGTTTTGCTGACTAAGGGTGTAAGAACACTTCGCTTGGTTTGGCTAACCGAGTGTGTAGCTTTGTGGATCGAGTGGGGTCAATTCGAATGTGTGTATTTTTGGATCGGGCAAGGTCGATCCGAAGATGTAGTTCCGTGAATCGAGCAGGTCGATTCGAAGGTGTATTTTTATGGATCGAGTAGGGCCGATCCAAAGGTGTAAATTAGCGTCGTGGATCGGGCAGGGCCAATCTAATGGTATAAATTCATATCGTGGATCGGGCATGGCCGATCCGAAGGTGTAAATTCATATCGTGGATTAGGCATGGCTGATCCGAAGGTGTAAATTAGCGTCGTGGATCAGGCAGGGCCAATCCGATGGTGTAAATTCATGTCATGGATCGGACAGGGCCGATCCGAAGGTATAAATTAGCATCGTGGATCAGGCAGGGCTGATCCGATAGTGTAAATTCATATCGTGGATCGAGCAAGGCCGATCCGATGGTGTAAATAACAATTGATCGAACAGGGTCAATCTGAAGATGAAAATTTTCTGAATAATACTTCATTAAATTGGGCCATGAGGTCGACTGTCTATGAGGAGGTGGATAGACCCACTCTTCCTTTTTTAAATAAAAACAAAGGAAAACAGATAGAAAGAACAAGTTCACCTAAAAGTAGTAGCGTTTGAGGTGAACGACATTCCACTTATTGCCGATGTCTTTACCCTCGGGGGTTTGGAGTTTATAAGCACCTTTCCCTGCTTCTTTGGTAATCTTGTAGGGACCTTCCCAGGTGGGGCCAAAGTTGATCTCCTTTGTGTTTTGGAAGACTTTGCGGAGGACCCAGTCACCTATCTTGAAAGTTCGGATCCTCATGTTGCAGTTATAGTGTCGGGCGGCCTGTTACTGATAGACTACGTTGCGGATGTTCGCCCATTTCTGTAGCTCATCAATGGTGTCCAAGTTCTGGCAAAGGTTCTGGTTATTTATTTCCTTGTCCGCCCATTGGAGCCTGATGGACAGGACTGATACTTCAACTGGGATGACTGCTTCAGAACCGTATGTGAGGGAGAAAGGGGTCTCGCCTATTGACGAGCGAGTCGTGGTTCGGTATAACTAAAGGACTTCGAGTAGCTCATCTGCCCATGCACCCTTCGCTTTCTGCAATCGTTTCTTTAGGGTCTGTATGATGGTCTTATTTAATGACTCGGCCTAGCCGTTGGACTGGGGGTTGCGGGGGGTCGAGAAGCTTAATTTTATTCCCCACATGTCACAGAAATCCCTGAAGCCTGAACTGATAAACTGGGATCCATTGTTGGTGACAATTTCCTTCTGTATCTTGAACCTGCAGATGACATGCTTCCAGATAAACGTTTTTACCTCTCGATCTTTGATTTGTGCGAAAGCTTCAGCTTCGATCCACTTAGTAAAGTAATCTGTCACAACCAACATGAAGACTCGTTACCCAGGTACAGTCGGTAGTTTTTCCACTATGTCCATTCCCCACTTCATAAAAGGTCAGGGTGTGAGGATGGAGTGGAGTCGCTCGGGTGGGAGGTGTGAGAAATGAGCAAACCTCTGACAGTTGTCACACTTCTTCACATAAGCAGCCGAATCTGTTCATATTGTGGGCCAATAGTACCCAGCAGTGATCACCCGATATGCCAGGCTACGTCCCCCAGCATGGTTTCTACATTCGCCTTCATAGAGTTCGGCGAGAACTTGCTGGGCCTCCTTTGGGCTTGTGCATTTGAGATAGGGAGCCAAAAATGATTTTCTGAGAGTTGGCCCTCATGTATGGTGAATCTGGTAGCTCTTGCTCTCAATCGGCGTGTTTCATTCTTGTCAGTGGGTAGTTCATTGTGCTCTAAGTATTTCACTATCGGAGTCATCCAACAGTCAGCTAGTTCAATATCCATTGCTTCCTCGGGCGACTTGTTTGGTGGTTGTTCCTTCTAGTTGGCTGGCCATTGCATGAACAATAGAGGGATAGATTACTGAGAAGAACATTTGAGCGCTGAGCCAAGGTTGGCAAGGGCGTCAATGTGAGAGTTCTCTACTCTTGGGACTTGGAGGATGGAGAACTCTTCGAATTGGGCATGCAGCTCCTTGACCATGTTCAAGTAAGCCATCATCTTTCAGTCGCGTGCTTGGTACGTGTCTTGCAGTTGATTGACCACAAGCTGGGAGTCGAACTTCACCTCTAGTCTCTTCGCTCCAATTTCTTTGGCTAAGGAGAGTCCAACGATGAGAGCCTTATATTCAGCTTCATTGTTTGTGCACTTGAACCCACACCGTATTGCCCGCTGGATGATATCCCCCTCTGGTGCAATCAGTACTAGCCTGAGTCCACTTCCATTCACGTTACTCGAGCCATCCACTAAGAGAGTCCATTTGGAGGGTGGCCTTCCGTTCAAGCATAACAACTCCTTTTCTGCTTGGGTAGTGGTACTCGGGGTGAAATCAGCAATGAAGTCTGCTAATGCTTGGGACTTGACGAAAGTGCGAGGCTGATATGATATGTCAAACTCACTAAGCTCTACTGTCCACTGGGTGAGTCGGCCTGATAGCTCTGGTTTGTGCAGTATCTTCTTGAGTGGGAAGGAGGTGAGTACAACTATGGAGTGGCACTGAAAGTACGGCTTGAACTTCCTGGATGCATGGATGAGGGCAAGGGCCAGTTTCTCTAGTTGACTGTACCGCATTTCTACGTCGAGGAGTGACTTGCTTACATAGTAGACCCGTAGCTGCTTCGTTTCTTCTTCCCGAACTAGCACTACTGAAATTGTTGTCTCTGAGACCGCCAGGTAAGTGTAAAGCTTCTCCCCGTCCAAAGGCTTGGAAAGGAGCGAGGGGGAGGTCATGTACCTTTTTAGTTGTTATAGGGCTTCTTCGCAAGAAGGGGTCTACTTGAACATCTTGGACTTCTTGAGGGCATGGAAGAAGAGATGTCACTTGTTAGCGGATCTGGAGATGAAGCGACTCAAGGCGGCAACTCGTCCTGCCAGGCGCTAGAGTCTTTGATGCAAGCCGGAGATGGTATATTGAGGATTGCTTTGATCTGATCGGGGTTGGCTTCTATCCCTCGCTGAGTCACCATGCAGCCCAAGAACTTACCTGACGAGATGTCGAATGAGCATTTGGCTGAATATAACTTCATGTTATACTTCCTGAGGACAGCAAATGCCTGACTGAGGTGGTCAATGTGTTGTTCGGCCATCTTTGACTTGACGAGCATGTCGTCGATGTAAACCTCCATGGTGTCTCTAAGGTGCTCAGTAAACATCCTGTTGACTAGTCGCTGGTAAGTAGCCCCAGCGTTCTTGAGACCTAATGGCATCACCTTATAGCAATAGGTTCCCCTTTCCGTGATGAAGTTTGTCTTCTCTTGGTCGTCCGGGTGCATCAAGATTTGGTTGTACCCTGAGAAAGCGTCCATAAAACTAAAGAGCTCATGGCCTGCGGTTGCATCAACCATCATGTCGATATATGGGAGCAGGAAGGAGTCCTTGGGGCAAGCTTTATTTAAGTCTGTGAAATCGATGTAGACTCCCCACTTCCCGTTCTTTTTCTTTACGACCACGACATTCGCTAGCCATTTGGAGTAATGGACCTCTCTGATTATACCATTGCTCAGTAGCTTCTCGACCTCTTTATTGATGAGTCGGTTACACTCTAGTGCGAATTTCCTTCTCATTTGCTTCACTGGTGGGTGATCCAGATCTACCTTAAGCTAGTGGACCATTGCTTCTAAACTGACTCCCGTCATGTCGGCGTGTGACCAAGCGAAACAGTCTTGGTTCTGTCTGAGGAATTCTATCAACTTCTCTCTTGTCTCGGGCTTGAGGCGGGAACCTATGTGTGTCTTTCTCTCGAGGTTGTCCGGATGTATCTGTACTTCATCCAATTCTTCCATAGATGGTTGGTCCGGCTCGATCGGAGGGGTTGGATGGGACTGTAATTGCTATGAAGTGTTACCCTTGCCCTTGAAGGCATTCTTGTAGCAATCTTTGGAAGCTTTGGGGTCGCCCTTGATCTCTCATATCCCCCACTTGGTAGGAAACCTGATTGTCTGGTGGAACATGGATGGGATTGCTCACATGTCATGGATCTAGGGCCGACCCAAGATGACGTTGTAGGGTGAAGGGCAGTCGATCACCAGAAAGACTGTCTTTTTGTTCACTCCACTAGCGTAGATGGGAAGGATGATTTCTCCGATGGTGTACTTCTACTCAGAACTGAAACCAACCAGCAGTGTCAGCCTCCTATTGATATTTGCTTCTTCCAGACCTATAGCCTTCACTGCTTCAAGGAATAGGATGTTTGTTGAGGAACCTCCATCTATGAATACCCTCTTCACTAGGATGTTGGCGATCTGCAGAGAGATGACTAGAGCATCGTGATGAGGAGCGACCAAGGTGACCGGCTCACCATCTTCAAACTGAATTACCTGATGGGTGTGTGATCGTGAAACCGGATGGATGGACTGCACTTCATGGTGGCTGTTGGCTCTGGCGTATCATTTGGTTGATGAGTAACTGACCTCGCTAATCTCTAATCCCCTGGAGATGAGTGAACAGAATCCTTTTGGTGTGGGTTCCCGCGGAGGTGGTGATGTTTCTTTAGTGCTTTTCTGGCTAATGGTGTTCTTCCCTTTATCCGTTAGGAGATCTCGGAAATGTCCCCTCTTCAAAAGTGCAGCGACCTTGAGCCACAAAGCGATGCAATCTGTAGTGTTATGCCCGTGGTCACCGTGAAACTCGCACCATTTGGTTGTATCTTTCCTTGCTTCGGGATTGAGCTTGCCTGGCCACTTAACGGTGGATCCCATTCATTTCATTATTGCAAATACTTGGGCCAGTTCGACGTTGAGGTTATACTTCGGTATCTTGTATCGGCTCGGTCCAACATGTATGTTATCGGTTCTCGTTGATTGGCAATCATAGGCTTCCTGACTCTACTCACGTTATATGCTGGGGGTTGATAATGGTGTTCCACTGATCTGTGCTCTGGCTTCCTGTCATTCCGCCTTGGGTTGTATCTGGCGTGAGTCGCCCGGTTTATCTCATCTTACTCCCACCTTATCTGGATCACTGCTCGAGCCAAAGCGTCTTCTATCGTGGTACAACCCAGCTTTGTCAGTTATTTGTATAGTTCTTCATCCGGGAGGAGACCCTTCCTAAAGGCGTCTACGGCTGTCTCGGGGTTACAAGAAGGGATGGAGATCTTCTCTTTGTTGAATCTGCTAACATATTCTCTTAGTGGCTCTCCCCTCCTCTGGTATACTCTGTATAGATCGGCTGATAGCTTCTCGAGTTTCTTACTGCTGGCAAACTGCTCCACAAAGGTGTCGGTAAGTTGAGCGAATGAGTCAATGGAATAGTTCAGGAGGTTTGTGTACCACTGGATTGCTGGATCGGATAAGCTTGAACCAAAGCCTTTGCACATGCAGGCTTCCCTAAGTGCTCGGGGTATTGAGACAGTGAACATCCGCTGCTTGTACGAGGCTATGTGGTCATCCGAGTTGGTTGTGCCGTCATAGGATTTCATGCTGGGGATAGTGAACTTCTGGGGCATGTCAGCTAGGGTGATCTCATCCACGAAGGGCGAGTCAACGTAGCAGTGAGGCCTGTTTTTCTTGGTCGGGATTGGCATTCTTGGGATGCGCCTCATCACTGCCTCTACATTAGCCAGCCACTTGGCCAATACCTGTTCCATATGAGAGAGGGACACCACTAAGTCATCCCGTTTGATTAGGTCGGCTTTTGCACTCGTCCTCAACATATTCCGTTGGGCCATCCCGTGCGATGTAGTTTGGTGGATCATTCCTTCGTGCACACCTTGGTAGCCTGGATCTCCGTTTACTCCCTCTGGTTGGATGACTCCCATGGTAACTAATCTGGTGTTTCGCCCTACATGAATAGTCAGGGGGGTTGTTTGATATTCACTCAGTCCATCAAGATGGGTGGGCTTGGGTGCTACAGTTTGGTTGGGTAGGTCAGTCAACTCATGAGGGTGAATCGAGCCGAATGATGTTTGTGTGGGGATGGTAAGGATGGGTTGGTCTTGCGGACGTGGGCTTTTTGCTACTTGGGCGTCTTGATCTCGAGACTGGTGTGGATCAGATGAGTGAGGTTCTGTTGGCGTATCCTTTTCTCCATGAGTCAAGACCAAATCGTCGCCCACCGATGCAATTAATGGACGTGGCCTTTTACTGGAGGTTGCGGGCCTGTGCTCTGGGGTTTGGAGAGGTTGCATAGATGGAATCGGGGCGCGGAATTGATTGGGAGGTATCTGGCAAAGCAGGAGCTCCAGATCATAGAACTGACTCACCTTCTCTTTTAGAGACTGGTTTTCGGCCCTGATGGAGGCGTTTTTGGTCTGGATTGCAGTGTTCTTGGCTTCCAGTGTGGCCACCTTGTCTGAATTCTACTGCATGAGGGCGGTCAAAGCCTCTAGTTTAGCCTCGAGGCTGGGATTAGCATTGTCCAAATGGTCAGCCATGGAAAATTCCTCTATACAGCAAGGTTCGTCGAGCCGAATGATTGCTAGAGGCCCCACGGTGGGCGCCAAATTATAGACATAAAAATCTACCTATACGGAAAGAGGGTCTGATCCTGTGAGGTTGAGGCCACTAGCGATCCGCTACACCTACACACGTAGAGCAACGAACATGAAGCGACGGAAAACACCAGGGTGGTGTTTGTCATAGACACTCCGACACTCAAGTCAGCAAGGCTGAAAGAGGCAAATTTAGTGAGGGCTAGGGAGTAGAGAGGTTACCAGAAGTCTAGTCAGGGATTGTGACTACGATGGTGATGTGAAGTTCTCAAGTAGGAACTCCGGATGTGAAGGTGTAGTATATTCTCCCTTGTGAGAAGGCTGGCCTCTGTTTATATAGTGACTGTCTGGTCTCTCAATCCTGGTGGGATTAGGAGTTCTCGTCGCAATCCCTTTCCTCCAGGGATACGCCCTTTGATCCCCTTATCGTAGCATGAGAGGGAATCCTAGTGTGACTCTGATACGGACCCTAAAGGAATTAGGGCGGTGGTAAGCTATCTTACCAGTGTTCAAACAGGAAAGTGATCTCGAATAGGAAAGTGATCTGTGGATGTCCGTGGGCTTTGAACTCGCTCATAGGTCCAGGAAGTGGATTAGGATTAGGATTAGGAGGCTTGGGCCCGGATGGTTTGGGCCAGTAATATCTCGTACCAGATGGGCCTAATCCGGATTGGGCCGCGTCGGGATTGGGCCTGGTCTCTTTCTCATTCGGTCTCTTTTCCCTATTTGGGCTAAGGACGATTTTTGACCCTAATAATGAGCTTAGATCAAAAGATGATCTTTGTCCTCAAACTTCACCTATCTAAAATTGCATCACCCACTTATACATCTAAGATGGTCCAATTAAGTTTAAGATTGATGGCAAATTAATTGTGACCGTTGATGGTGGCTCACTCTTGGTCCTAGTGTTAACCATCACACAATTGTTTTTAATTTACATAAACCTATACATACATACAAACATACATACATACTAAATGATGTAAAATTTGCTAATAAATAGTTTAGTGAAATTTCAATTAAATACTAATAATTTTGTATACTATATATGTTAAAAGTTAAATACTTAAGATATTAACTATGATATATGTAAAGTAATATTATATAACTAAATAAACATGGTTTTTAAGTGCTTTTTATTTGTCAATTTGTTGGCTTTCTATCTGTAATGTTGGCAAATAGACATTTAAAACTTTTGTCAAATGTGATGGATCATCACAAATCTCGTGAAAGAGATGTACACTGTAATGTGTGGCTTACTTGGAACATTGGGCTTGTATGGTGTTCAATAGGTCCTAGGGATTAGTTGAGCTTTCATGCAAGCTGACTCGGACATCCCGGTTATAAAAAATAAAATAAAATAAAATAAATAAAAAACTTCTTTGATATTAGATGATAAAATTTTAAGAAGATGTACACAAATGGGAAATGACTTCAAATAAAATTAAACTAATTAGGCACATGATTACATAGACCTAACACGGATTACTACTTAGACAAACCACATGATAATTGGTCCTTAAAATTATAATAAACTTTTTAAAGTATAGTATACATCACCATGTATTCATAATTGTTATGCCTAAAAAATCAATGTTGACGTAAGCTTACATCAGCGAGCACCAATAAGAATTAAGGAAGGTTTTGCACCACTAAGAATCTGCCATGTCGCCCCAAGACAGAGAGAATATGACTATCACCAACTCAGTAAGCTCAAGTTTAGTCTGTGAATGAATGTGGTCCGCACACCTGTCCAAACCCCATATAATTTAAGGATATTTCCTAAGTTATCACCCAATGGGATACAAGGAAGGACTTGCATGGCACCTACCTGTTTACAGACTTGTAATCATTGCCGTAAACTTAGTAGCTATAAATAGAGGACTCCCCCTCACAAAATCAGGATCAAACTCTCTGAATTCAACAAAGCAAATAGCAAAGACAGTCCATAAGAAAGAGACTGGCTTAATATTCACTCAGAATAACAAGTTCTTGTAATTCTGCTCACCGCTAGCAACCTCTTGTAAACTTGGCTAATTACCAAGAACACTCATATAAAAGACAACAATGGATGTAGGAATCTCTTTAAGCATCTTAACCACTATAAAAATTCTCACTATCTCATTTATTATTCAGTCTTTGCATGCTTTTTCTAACCTTCAATCAATTGTTCACGTGTAATTTCTAAGACCCTCTTAGCACTTTACATGTGCGAAGTCATTGGTGTCAAAATTACGCATCAACAACTTGGTGCTAGAAGAAGGTCCAGATTTCACATCAGCTCTTCATCTGGTAATCTCAACTAATCAATCAGTTCAACTTGCAAAACTCATGGCTCGTGGTCTTGAAACTGAGTGCACTAGCACCAACAACAAGGAGACCCTACGCATTCAGGAGACTACTCCTCCCGAAATAGCTCCATCTCCCAAAGTACTATGATAGGCATCCCCTCGACTTCCCAGGCAGACCCTACTCAGATCAGCTACCTGGAGAAATTTGACAACACCCTCCAAACAATGAGCCAAAGGCTAGATCGTTTGGATCAGGTCGTGCCGTCAAATTCTAACAAGGAAGTACCACCTCCAAAAACGCTTGTAGGTCACACTAAAGCGTGGAAATGAGCAAAAGCTCATACCACACGCACTACAGTGCGTAAAGATAAAGGGAAGCAAGTGGCCGAACATGGGCAGAAAGGGCACCCCCACAAGAGTACTCGACAGGGAGATTCCCACTATCGTCGACATGATGGTCCCCACCATCACCGTGAGGGAAGTGTCCACCATCAGTAGGTCAGTTCTGACCACCGCAGAGGTAGCAAAAACTCCCCAAGCCATTCAGTGCCTTCACAAGGCTTCAATCAGCATGTGTCAAGGCATGCTGAACAGCCAAGGCAAAGAAAGTACTAACCTGCTATCTTTCCTTAATCGCAATCATAGGGAACGTACCTATATTACAGAAAGTGATGCCCAGAGGGCTCCGCTTCGTCAAATAGAGGAATTACAACGAGCTCTGGATCAACTTAGAGCTCAACAGAACGAGTAGGGGCAGGTCACTGAGGCATCTCCCTTTTCTCTACTAGTTTTGACTGCTCCTCTCTCGTCAAGATTTAGAATGTCTAACATGAGGGCATTCGATGAGAATTCTGATCCACAAGATCACCTCTATGAGTTCAATGACCTCAAGAAGCTTCACCAAGTTTCCAACTTGGCAAAATGTTGCTACTAAGCAATGACTCTATCTGCCTATGCTCAACATTGGTTCAGATCTCTT